TCAATAATGTTAGTAGTAAAAATGACTGGTACCTCATTAACAGAAAAGTACCATTGTTTTTCTTTTCTTTGGCCAATTTTTCCGCCCTTAGCAATCCGCTTCCACGCCCACCTTGCCCACCCCCGGGACTAACCAATTCTAATGGGAAAATTCAGCAAATTATCACGATATGGATCCAGAAGTGACTATTAGAACAATAATAAATTAAAATAAGTTTTAAATCATCAAGCAGCACTGTTACATATTTTCCTCTCGGTATACCTTCATCTCCCACGTCTGTGTGATTCAATACAAGGTGTAGTCTATTTAATAAAAGAATTTTAACGAATAAACAGCATAAAAATCAAACGGCATTGCTTAAAACTATCAAATTGTTTTACCTACCCCATTCATATATAAGGAATGCGGTGACTCCGGTAAATATTGTACCAAATATGATAAATGTAAGTTTCATGGCTTTCTTAGAGAAGTCTTTTTTCCCATTATCATCTTTCTTGCGAGTGTCATCTTTGGAATATAAGTCGGCAGTTACATGATTTTTCACTTCACTAGACAAAGATCTCAAAGGGATGAGATTATTCGACCGTTTAAATTGTTTTATATTAACTAATCTATGATACGACGAAAACTGAGAAATGAATTTAGTTCTATAAATTAAACTAAACGATTCCAAACGTAAACATCTACAAAAACACGATCTACTCAACACTATGGCCGCCATTTTACTTCGACACATGCGGCTCCTACTTTTCAAATAAATACGGTTCATTCATTTTTTTATGATGTAAAATATAACAACAGTTTTTATTCGCCATTCACTACATTTTTATTATAGAAATATTAATATAATAAATAAAAATTGTTCGTTATAAAAATTTACTTAAATAATAATTAAAATACGTTTTCAAAATTTTTATTACCAGCCTCGTGGGCATTAAGAGGGCCCTCTTTTAGCCAGCCCATTATAGATTCGGCCAGGTCCATAATGGGGTTGATTGTGAGGGGCGGGACCCGACATATCCGGACGAACCACCCCGATAAATTCCTTGGGATTATTCGACTCGTATTCTTTTGTATGTAATTTCTTATTTTGCTGGGCTGCAATTTGAAAAAATTTAGACCTATAAATTCTCACTGTTGTCAGTCCGTCTGACTAGTGCGGTTCGCTATTCAACATTCCAGGAACAAATGAATCGTTCTGTTTTACGTAACGTTTTTGTAAACACCCTAACTCCTTTTAACGTTTCAGATATTACTTCGGAAGTAAACACAATAAATTTAACTTTATATTAATATGTGCTAATAATGTATAACCTACTCACGCAAACTAAGCGTCACTGTTAGCATAGCAACTGAAATAGCGAATGAAACAACCCGAAGGAAGCACTCTTTCCTTATATTGTATTAAGTAAACGGTATAAAACTTTGCTAGAAATTTAATAGCAACTAATTAATAGTTATTATTAAGTGATACTTTTTATGCTGATGATAAACTGTGGATGTTGTACTGTACGTATGTCAATAACAAGATGTTTGTAAGTAAATTTTAATCTATCTTCCATGTAGTTTTTATTTCAACTACTGTATAATCAATAAACAAGTTTAAATTCTAGAAAATAACATAGGTCTGATATGGTTTAAAATATTTCTATCAATATTATTATTGATGATTTTTAAAGTAAATCTCATCAGAAACAAGTATAGAAACAATATAGAACTATATAGCAGTCAAAATCCGTATAAGGCCGACAGTGTAGAGTAGGCCCCTTTAGCAACTTAGCGAGTGTTTCTAAGTCTATACACGGTATACTGAACCTGTGTGTAGATATAAGTCTATTACAAATTCACGATACGCATATTCTACACCTAAAAACTAAAAGTTCGGATAAACATGGTAATTAAACCGATAGGAAAAGAGTTATAGACTGTTTTATTTTCGTGCCAAGAAAAAAAAATATGTAAAGTTGCCATTTTTGCCATGCAATAAATTTAAAACAACAAAAGATTCGGGTGACAGTTTGTCTCGAAGTTCCTAAAATATTTACTCTTTGAGATTTTAATGAGTCGTGACTGGATTTGTGCTCAAAAGTTCCTTTATGCACAATCCTCAAAAGTTCAAAAAGTTCCAAAAGTTCCACGAAACGTTTTCGTCACTGCATTGCAGAAGCGCTTTATTTT